GCCTGCAATACTGCATTCTAACCACTGTGCCACCATGGTTCCTATAATAGTATAGTGCTATACTATATATATACTGTACTATAAATAGTAGTGATAGTATTGAATTATGTCACGTAAAAAAACATATCTGGGGAAAGATTCTTGTAAAGATGCTTACCTGCAATAAAGCTGCCAATATATGCGATCCAGCCTGCTGAGATACCGATATTGGCAAGACTGCATTTTCCATTCAGGGTGCAAAGCCCAACGAGAGAGACAGCTCCAGAGATCATCCCCAGAAACATAAAGGTTCGGGTGGCATGTATAAAGGCTGTAGGGAGCCAATGCAGACACAAGGTAAGAATTCAAGATGGAGGTTCTTGTGTATTTCACAGGCTAGTGATGCATTTGGAATACTGAATCTTACCTGACACTGATTTCACACCTAGTGAGTAACATGTTCCATGATCACAAAATTTCCATAGACCAAGATGTTTGCTGGAATCCACTATCCAATAGTCTGAACCCAAAGCAGCAAGCAGGAACAGAAGGCTGATGAAGGAAAAGAACGTAGCAGCAAACTGCAGGACATTCATTGTACCAAATGTCTCTGGTCTGTCACTGGCCAAGAGGTCTGGGATGGAACTGGAGGACAACATTAAGTTTAGGTTATTGATGTTCATTACTTTGATCATTTATAGTTACGCATCTTAATTAGGGTGTGTAGGGTGTCTCTGCCCCAGATGCATGTCTTTAGTCAGAACTGAACCTATTAGATCAGTGGTGGTGAACCTATGGCACGCGTGCCAGAGGCGGCACTCAGAGCCCTCTCTGTGGGCATATGCACTATTGCCCCAGCCCCACCTCCCCCTGTGGCCCCCTCCTTGCCAGCAGCCCCCCCCCAGAGGAGAGTTGCCTCCAGGTGCAGCCCACACGGAGCAGCGCAGCCAAGGACATGGCAACCGGGCAGTAGGGACAAGACTCCACCCTCACGCCCCTTGTGTGCAAATGATGCTGTGGGGTGCGGGCAGAGGCTGCCATGGCCCTGCAGGGCCACTTGGGCGATATGTGGTGGGCCGTGGAGGTGGTGGGTGGCCCTGTGGGCGGAAGGAGGGGCGGTTTTTCGGCACTCAGTCTCAAAAGGTTTGCCATCACTGTATTAGATCTTCTTGGCTGTAGGTTCCTAACAAATAATTGGTCTATTAGGAACTTTCTTAAAATAAAATACGTGTTAATATAATCAGTGAGAATTCCCTGGATGGGGGAGGCAGTTGCCTTCCTTGAAATCTGGGCTGGCTCTGAGTTCAGAAAGGTTTGTCTTGCTTGGATGTCCACCTTGGACCATTTGCATCTTACTGTTCTTCCTTACTTCAAAGTTAGCTAGTAACTTTGGCATGTAGCCCCACATCACCTCAGATCTTTTTTGGATTTCAAAGAGTTGTTAACAGAAACTCTGGCTGTCAGATTCAGTAGCTCATTTTCTTTTGTACCTTTCCTTTTATATTCAATTTTAGCACATTTAGCACATTTTCCATTCAAAACCCCAGCATGCTTTCATTTAAACTGATGAGCGACTGAATTTATCAGAAACGAGTGAACATTTGAAGAAGCAGAACATCTTTTTTTTATTTATTTTTTTAAATTTATTTTTTATTTTTCCAAACTCTCCCCCATACATATACCGTGATATTTATCAGATATTAACATACATTCTTTTTACATTCTTATATATAAGATACTTTTAATGAAATAAATACATACACATGACTTTTGGTGTTGCTCGCCCATTTCCCCTTTCACTGCATCCCCACTCCTTCTCTACCTTCTTTCTCCCTTCCTTCTCTTTCTTCCCTACTTCCCTCTTCTTCCTCTCCTCTCCTCTTCTCTTTCACCACTCTCTCCTCCAACCTTCCTACTTCCTTCTCCCCTCCTTTACTCTTTTCTCTCTCCTCTCCTTTCTTCCCTTTCATCCCTCTTCAGATACAATTCGGGGGTAATGTCCGAGCAACTCCTCTCTCCAAATTTCCCTATCTGTATTATATACAATAAGATTAATTTTCTCTTACATTAATACTTCTATTTATCTAACCTTCTCAGTATATACGTCTATAAATATGTATACAACCTCCAGTTATTCAATACTATGTCACCTGGGTCTCCCTCCTTATCTGCTCCTTCTTCTTCCATCTAAATTGATGTTAACTATCTTTTAAC